AGGAGATTAAGAATAATAACCAGCTCACTACTTTAATTTTTTATTTTTTTAATTCAAAATTAATATTTAATCACCTGCTACATTTATTCCCTGCTAGTTTTATTTTTCTACAGTTGCTTTTATTTTTCAGATATCCTGAAAATATGTTTAGTTTTCTTTGTTTTGTGCCATAGATTAATGTTTTCTTTTCCTAAGCTCATATTAATTGGTGCAAAGTTTTGGTTACTTTCAGGTGATAATGATTCCTTTAGACTTAACAGTTTGTATCAGCCTTTATTTCTCAGGTTTATTTTCTACGATCATTGCTGCGTTCAATCAAATTATCTCTTTTTCTTCTAATAACCAGGAGGAAATATTATGGTTATAATTCCTTTTTTTTAAACTACATACTATATAATGCATTAAGTCCAGAAACAACAATTACATGCATTTAAAACTGATGTATCGTGTTGCCCTCTGCAGGCTATGAAAACTCGTCTCTGATTAGTGCGGTCAGCGGCCAGCATCAAGAGAAAACTTTAATAATAATAATAATAATAAATCCAATTTGTACCGCACTTTTCATTAATAAAAATCTCAAAGTGCTACACAGTGCAAATAAAATCAAAGATAAGTGTGAACGGTGTTCATCTACGCAAAGGGATGGTAATTTTAAAGATAGAAACTAAAACGCCGCCTCCACCTCCTTTCTTTTCTGTGTCTCTTGGAGGTAATACAATTTCCTGCCTCTGAAAGGGTAAAAGCTCCTTTAAACAGCCATGTTTGGGCAAGACAGGCTCTTGTGTTTCCATTCATTAGAGCTGTTTTTATTCAGCCTGCTTTGTCTGAGCATACAGCCCATTTTCATCTATCTCCACTGATTGACGGCGTTTCATAAATGCACTCCTCTTCATCCGAGAGAGTCGAGATGGCTCCTGCTTCACTAACTAGAGCTGCCTTCTAGCTGCTGGTTAGATGCATTTAGGTGTATGAACGTACATGGTGTGAGGAACGGACGTCCTTTTCTTTGGATGCGTTGCGGTACAAACCTCCCCACTGTATTGTGTCATATCTGCGGAGCAGCCGAGCCAAAGAAGAATCATAAAATAGGAGGAAAAGGATATATGTGTAGTTCTTGAGGTCTATCTAACAGCTTTGCAAAGTTGGAGGCTGTGACCTTAGCCCACTGTTTTCTAGCTCAGGTTGGATCAGAGGTACGTAGAGTACCCAAAAATAGTACCTAACTAAGAGGAGCACTACTTTATCATATTTTTACCCAAGTAAATGTAAAAAGTAGCTTTGAAGAAATTGCTCAAGAGTTTAAAAGTTAATCTACTTAGTAAAACTGATTAAATATTTTACAAAATTATGGAAGATTTAACAAAATATTAAGTGATATACAAATTCTGGTCTCTCAAAAAATGAGATAGTAATCAACATATAACATACAGCAGGGGTCACCAATTAAAAATCAGCAACCAAAGAAAATCATCAACCAGTAAAGGTCCGGAGAAATTTTTAATTTTAATCTGTTACTTTAAACAGAATTTAACACTGAAATAAAATGTTTTTATGCATTCATGTTATACATTGAATTTTTAAATAAAAAAAATAAAAAAATAAAATAGAACATTTTTCCATTTTAAAATCTAAAGTGTATTTTCAAGTAGAGAACAACAATCGTTCAGTTTGGTATATAGACAATTTCCTAAATCACATATACTAAAATAATGTTTCTTTTTTATTGCTTTTTATGGTGCTCATTTTTAGCCTGGATCCATATTTATTTTTGATTCTGTTCATGGTGGAGAATCCTGCTTCACAGCAGCAGGTTGAGCCAAACAGAAAGAAGAATGGCAAGAAGATCCGGTTTGTCAAATTAAAATATAGTAACAACAGATCGGTAATCACAAATTAGAGCATAATTCTTGTATTTTTCAAAAAAACTAACACTGTTTATTTAAAAGATTGGATCAAACTATTGGTACTTCAACGGACCAGGAAGCAGATTTCTCATTTCCATCAGAAACTGAACATCTGCTCGATGCTGATGGAGATTTTTTTAATGTCATATTAAATTAAGTGTTCAGTTCTGCATGTTTTGCTCCTATGAATTTAATGATAATTACGCGCATGCTCTCCTCGAGCTCCAAGGATAAGTCGGAGCGTAGCAATACGGGAGGAACAGCTGAGGCTGTAGGCTTTGCTTTGCGCAGGAGGTCTGGAGCGCAGCGGAGCGGAGACGGAGGATGCTGGATTTCAGGGTAACGAGAAGTGCCAAAAGTGACGTTTAGACACTGTCGTCAGACAACGTGGTAATTTATAAATGTTTTGAATCAGGTTGGGTCCGTATCCAGACCGCGGTTCGCTAATCCGTGACCTCTGGTTTAGAGTAATCACACAACAAAACATTTAGGTGGAATGAACACCAAAAACTCCCCCAAATCAATAGCTACAGGTGAAGTAACTCACAATGGAGAGAGTAGCCAGAACTATTAACCAAGAGTCTTAATATTTAAGTTTTATATTTTATATACTTCTACTCCACTAAAAAGTGTAATGCTGTTAAACTACTCATAAAAGTATTTATTTTTTCTAAAACTTACTCCATTAAAAGTAACGGAGTAAATGTAACTAGTTACTACCCACTTGTAGGTTGTATAGAGAGCGTCTCCAGGTCCTGTTTTGCTCAGAACTTTGAATAGAACCAGCCTCCGTCTAGAATCATTAGTAGCTTCTACAGTCTATTCAATGACTGCCTTGTATTTAACTCCATCCACGCTCTCATCAGCCATGACAAGCTTTCTGATCCCTGCTTGATAAAATACCAGATATTTGGATAGCAATTCTGTTTGACGTGACAGAATGTCCTACTTGAACTGCTGATCTCTGCAGCTCCTCTTTTTAAAGCCTGTCCTGCTTAGCCTATCAGAGTTTGTCATTGTGTAGCTTCATTTTGTTAGATGTTGGACTCGAGACTTTTTGGAAACACTATAAGACTCCCCATAACATTCCTCACTGATTAATGTGTTCCCATTGTTTTTATCATCCACATGTTAAGGTATTGTGTTGAAAGGGCTTGAAGGAAACTAAAAATTTTAGCTGGTTTTTGATTTTTATTTTTTTTTAAACAAATTTTTTGGAAATGTTTTTGATTTAGTGATCATCTACCTGCAGCCATCAGTTCTGTTAGTAATCCGTTAATCTATTTAAAGTTTTTTTGGATTAATCTAAAAGTAGACCCTTTTTAGAACAAAATAAAATGGAAATTATTGCTGATTTTATGAATTGAAAATTGCAAAAACATGTACAAAAATATAAACAAAGCTAAACAAAAAATTTGCATTATTTTGGCAATATTTGTGTTCTTCTGTTATTTTTTTTTTTGTACTTTTAGCATGATATACTCTTTAAATAGCCTTTTGTACTGACAAATGGACAGAATATGAAATAAATTATCACTAACTCCAGAGGAGATGGTCAGGGTATGAAGGATGCATGCTGGGATTCTGGTGTTCTGATGAGTCTGTCTTGTTTCCTTTCAGCCACGAATCGTCCGCTAGGCTTCACTGTTAACAGTCACTGAGATTCTGACATATTTTATCATTTTCCTCTTCCCCACTGACACCGTTCAGCCAGGGATTTTCCTCTTCCTCTATGTCTGTATCTGAGTAGTATCGGGGGGCAGTGTAGAGGAGGCTAGTCCGTCACTAGGCAACCATGGCAGTGATGTGAAGCTGAGGAGGTCCAGCTTAGAACTCGTAGGACAATTTTGCTTGCTTTACTAGTTCCTGTGGGTTTTTTGTGTATTGGATATTTATGATAATACGGAACCAATGGCGTCCCTTATTGGTTTAATACAGAACGCAATGTTTAACTGATGCTTAAAAGACAACTAAATATTTTAAGGCAGGGGTGTCAAACTAGTTCCAGAAAGGGCCGAGTAGCTGCAGGTTTTCTTTCCAACCAAGCAATAGCACACCAGACTCCATTCATCTCATCAAGTGAGTCTAGTCTTGAGTTAGTCAACATGATGACTTAATAAGATGAATGGAGTCTGGTGTGCTATTGTTTGGTTGGAAAGAAAACCTGCAGCCACACGGCCCTTTCTGGAACCAGTTTGACACCCCTGTTTTAAGGAATGGGTGGCAACCCTAGTCTAAAGATGCTAATTTCTGTAGCCGCAAAAAGAGAGAATAAACAGTTCTGTCTCAAGACATGGGATTTCCTGAAAAGTAGCCAATCAGAAGCAGTTTAGTCTCTCAGCTTAGTCCCAACTTTAAAGTGACAAAAATTGACACGACAGCACAGAAATGGGTCCACATGCAAATAGGAGAGAAGAGCAAGAGCAGAGAAGGAGCATGAACTCAAGGTTCTGATATGTTTGGGGGCCTCATGCTATTGAATCTGCAAGCGTAAAATGTTCTAAATGCACGTGGAAAGTGGTGTGTTTTTAAATAGAATTATTTAGTGCAAAATCTTCTTACTTGCAAAGTTTGATCAAAATCTGCATTAGAATTTAATGGAAAAAGTCTAATGGTGTCCAAGAAAAGTATTTGCACCTTAATAGAACACCCCAACCTATACAGAGATATGGTTAGACAATGCATGCCCAAAGTTGCTATTCTGCAGGTTTTAGAGGATTCTCTGCTTTAGCATCACTGGTTCTGAGGATTGCAGTTCAGCAAAAGCCTGTTGGTCTGCTATGAGTGGAAATCAGCTGTGCTGAAGAAGGGGAACCTCTAAAGGCTGCAGGACGGCGGCCGTCAAAGGGCCAATTTTGAGGCATGCCTGGGTAACATCAGGGGTCTTTGGGAAGCTGATGGTTGTTTTGGATGATTTATCCTGTTTCTGTTTCACAGACACCTTTGTGTTTGTCTTTTACGTAAAATCTAAAAAGAAAAGTATGAAATGTTTAGTTGGATCTGTTTCATAACCATCATTAATTGTTTGCTTAAAAATGAAAACAACTAGAAATTAAATTAAACCTTTTTCTTTTTGTTTTTCCAATGTCTTTCCAGGTCACCACTTCCTCATTTGGCCCTGCTAAAACCTACGAGCTGCTCCACCATATGACAGGGAAAGGTTTGTCGGCCAGGTACCATTTCCCTCGGCAACCGTGTTTGTACCAGGCCAGTATGGTTTCAGTTCAGGTCATCCTGACCAACAGCTCAGACCACAGCCTGGAAGAGATCCATATAGGAGATCGGAGCCCGGCAAGCCTGAATATCCACTGCTTCAACACCATCGGTGAGTTCCTTCCACTCGGGAGACTTCAGCATCTGTTACCCAGAAGGAATATTTATTCACTAACCAAATACTATGGATACTTTTGAGTTTTAGTTAACAGTAATTCTGTTGAAAGGTGTTTCCACCTATCAAAGGATCAAGTCAGGTAGTTTCAGCCACTCTTAGCATGATGGAACCAAATTTAGCTGTTATGTCTCAGAGATATTAATGGTCATTTATAGTTGTTTCTTAAATTTTAGGGTTAATAACCAGGTTTTTAATTACCATAATTGTGAGAAAAGACATGAAGTTGGTCTGAGACTAAATAGTGTAAGCAACATTCATGCATTTCATTGCTGCAATAAGCTGCAAAATTAACTTGGACATGATTATTTAAAGCTGATGTAGCCTCAAAACGGGACAACCTTGAGATATTTTTTATTTTAACAGAAAATAAATGTCTTTTGAAGTTGTTTCTGTTGAAGAAGAATTGGTATTTTACATCTGTATGAGATATTTTAAGGATTCCTCAAGAGCTACAGATTTTACTCAGTTCCAATGACGAAAAAATCTGTTTAACAACCATATATTCAAATGTATTGATTTAAAGTTTACATAACAACCAATTATGGCTAAAATTGCAGGAAATTTTAGAAGTCTAAAAAATGAAACCTCTATGAAAATGATCACCAGCCAGTATACTCTATTAAATTGATTTTTATAGATAGATATACTTTATTTATCCCAATCCGGGAAATAACAGAATATATACATAAAATTATAAACCTAAAAAAAATTATCTGTTACTCTTTAATTTCACAGCATTTAAAATCGTTCATAGAAATAACCCCTTCTGTTATCTTTCAACTGTTTTAACCTTTTATTTTTCCCATTTATATTTTGTTTTAAAATATAAATGGTTAAATGTAGTTATTATTGTGCAGAATAACACATATTTAAATTAAATGACTATGTAAACCAGATGAAAAACACTTTGAATGACCGACACGTTGATGAGTTAAAACTAGAGATGCAGCGATCTGGTAATTTTGCAGATAGAGACCTTTGCTGATTGCACCAGATGCCGCTCCGGTACCGCTTTGGTATCACCATTACTTTAACCCAACACGGAGTTTATAGAGTATTTTCTACAGGAATAGGAGACATCTGGTGCAGACGGGCCCTTCAGCAGAACTGCAGGCTGACCACCTTCTAAACGAGCTGCATTGATGCAGTGATTTTTACTAAGAGACATATGCAGCAGTGAGTCGACAGTCAGACCATCAAGGAGACACCTGACCTTCTATTGACTGCACGGACATTAATATGTTTTGTGTTAAAGTTGTTTTATGGTCTTTGATTATTGAATCTGTTTAATGTCTTTAAATTTCTTTCTGTTTTTTGCTGAGATGTCACTTTTAAAGTTTTGCTACCCACATTTATGTATTTTATTCGTTTTTAGAGATGAACCCTTGGTCCACGATGTCCGAGCTTATTGAGATTTTTCTCTGTTGTGATGTTTTTATTCCACACGGAATTGTTAATTGTCAAATTATCCAACCTTCTGAGCTCGATTACCTCTCCAAACAGCTCCGTCCCTGTACCTCAAACTAAATGACAAATCATCAGATCTAATCAAATCTCCTTTTCATTGATATCGACCAGTAAAGAAAATTCTCCCACCATCACCCAGGTTTCTGTCTGCAGACTGTACCTTTTTTTTTTTAAGGATTGTCTTCTGCATGTGTGCCTGAATGCACGGTGAGACAGAAGTGATGTGCGATGAAGCATGTTAAAACCGCCCTTTGCAGGGGATTGATTGGGCATTGGGGGAACTCATGCAGCCAAACGGTGGGTAAATTGGATCGATTGAGTGTGGGTACTGTGAGCCTGTGGCTGGATTCAGTTTGGATAAACTGCAGGGGATGAATACAGAACAAGCTGTATGTAGAGATGCTCTTTGTTTGTTTATAGAAGAATGATAATAAGTTATTTAGCTATTTTTTACTATAAAACATTTTGAATTAAAGAACGACTGGTGTTAGTGGTTATTGGGTTATTTCTATGTAGTTCGCTCAGACAAACTTATTATGATTTAATTTTGAAAAACAATTTCAGAAACTAACAAACGGGAGATTTTTAGTGATAAAACTATTCCTCAAACTTTAGTTAAAGTTGCTCATAGCTCCTGATACACCTTTATGCAGTCTTCTGTTACCCACTCTGCCAGTTTCCCCCCACTCAGCTCTCTCGATGCTGATTTAGTCCTTGACGGCTCTGTTGTTTTGGAAAGCTGCCTCTTATTCGTGTTTTTTTTTTCCTTACTTCAGAGGCTGAATTTGTTGGGAAGGAGATTGAAGGATAGATTTCTCACACATGGTGGCCTTGCTTTGTGATGTAGAAAACACATGCTGTGTAGATGCTTGTCTGTTCCACTCTGCTGCTGCGGCGGCAGCCCGCTCCTCCTCCACCTCCACTCTCCCTGCCTCATCCTTCCCCACGCTGCACGCCATGCCCTTGGATCTCACTCTTTCTTTGCTACTCTCGTTTCCTTCCCTCGTTTCTATTCTCAGAGCGGTTGGAGCCAGGGGCCTCAGTGACTGTATCCATGGGTATCGACTTCAGTGACTCAACGCAAGCAGCCAATTTCCAGTTATGGTAAGACATCAGGAAACAACCCCTCTACCAAAAAAAATCAGCAGTGTGACTGTTTGAATCAGTTCTCCAACGGCTGCTCTGCATCTTGTCCGGCTTTAACTCGTTTCGCCTTTTCTCGTCCAATTTTTTATTTGTTTTCACCCTCACTCTGCCTTCGTTCCCAGGTGAGACATCAGCAGCAATTGATCCCAGTTCGCTGGGATAACAATTATTCCCTCGCTAATCAGCACCAGCCCAAATCCTACTGCTGAATGCCATTGGCACTGCTGCTCAGCTGATCAATAACCTTATCAGAAAATCTGTTTGAGATGGGGGTGTTAATCTGTTTGAAAATGCTACTTGCAGAGGACTGGTTTGCTTGACAATCGGAGGAGAAACACTTCATACACAGAAAGGCAAATGGACAAAAAGGCTTAAAAAACAATAGAGAGTACATTTTACTTGGCTTGCTACAATTAGAATCAATTTAAACTAGAAGGAACTTTCTGAAATGATTTAGGAGTTCTGTTCAGTATGCATATATATATATATATATATATATATATATATATATATATATATATATATATATATATATACATATATTAGGGATGCACGATATTGGGATTTTGGCCGATATCCGATATGCCGATGTTTTAAAACTCATGTAGCCGATAACCGATATCGATACCGATGTTAAAGCTGGACAAAAATAAGTAGTCATTGAAAATAGCAGTTTTTTTATCCATTTCTGACACTTTGAAAAATAATATACTCAAATATATTTTCATATGCTGATATCAAATTTATTTTTGAAAACGCGGTATCGATCTATTTTACTTTCAAAATCTCCTGAAATTTCATCGTTCTGTTACAAACTCTCGTGATATTTTGCAAATTCTTGTGAGATTTTGTTAGTAAAATAGATCGATACCGCGTCAATATATCAACATATAAAAATATGGCAAAATTTTGTGAATTTTCGGGGGATTTCGTAGCATAACGATGACATATAGCAATATTTAATTAGTAAAAGAGATTGATATGGTGTTTTTAAATGGCAATATATCAGCATATGAAGATATTGTGATATTTTAATGTATCAATATTTTTTCTCTCGTCTTTAGAAGTTTTTAAGTCTGTAAAAAAGAAGTTTTTGAGGAAGAAGAAGAAGTAGTATTTATTTTTTTTTTAGACTTTAAAAACTCAGAAACTGATCAAATATCGGTGGGGTGGCCGATGTCCGATATTCAGTTTTGAGGCCGATACAGGCCGATACCGATAGGGGGACGATTATATTGTGCATCCCTAATAAATATATATATATATATATATATATATATAGAACAGCTCCAAATGACACAGAACTTATATGGGTGAGTAGAACATGATGTAATAACATAAAATCAAGGGCCCAATGTAAAAAAAAAAACGGTGTTCCGCTTTAAGTTTTTTCAGTCCTCTGTAAATATCCAGATGGTAGTGATAATTTTTTATGCTAAATTTAGATGATTCCATGCGTATTTCCTTTCAGGAGCTGAATGAACATAATGCTGTAAAGCACATGGGGTCACAATTTGCTTTTGTCAAATAAGTACAAATATATTTGCACCCCACTAGCAATTGTCTATTCTAGAACACACATGTTTTCTGACATATTTTCCCTGCTAGCTTCAGAATAACAGTCTCCAACCAATGTTAAACCTACATTGTTAGTGGTTTATAATTATAGCTCAGATTTATTTCACCAGGTGATAAGATAAAAGAAGTTAGATATCAGTTTTTTATTTTATTCTTACTTGATAATCATCTGATACACTTAGCGCTTAGCTTGCAAAGTAATGAATAATGCCTGTTTTATGTGGTCAGTGTTCACCTTAGGCTTCGTTTGCTCATATTTTATGTTTCTCAGAAAAGATGTGTGTTCTATAATAGACAGTTGTGCAAATTGTGACCCCATGTGCTGTACAGCATCTTAACGGAAATATGCATGGAATCATCAAAATTTACCATAAAAAAATATCACAACCATCTAGGGGGTATTTACTAAAGACTAAAAAAAACGTAAGTAATATTGCACTGCAAGAGGAACCTAAGAAACCTAGCAGCTGCTTGCTAAAGGGCTTATTGTGGATTCTGCTGTTTACATTTTTTCCTTGTCCTTCATGCAAACTATATACTAAATCAAGTTGTTTCAGTTTTTTTAAGTTTAGTTCATCATGTAGAAAAGAAGGAATGAGCCACGCTAAAACTGATTCAGATAGTTACAGATTTTTAGATGAAAGCTTAAAGAGGGAAGCGTCAAAAGGTTTAGTAAAAAAAACATCTTAATTAAAAGATACCCAAAGCCCGGTGAGGAGCATGTTCTAAAAGGGTCTGTAATTCTGCAATTCGGTTTACGATTCTGTTGATCCTTCCTCAGCACCAAGGAGGACCAGTTCAGCGTATCCATTCAGCCTGCTGTAGGAGAGCTCTTAATGCCCAGTACCATGCAAGAACCAGACTTCTGCAAAGAACAAAGTGAGTACACATTTTATTATAGTTCTCTTTTATGAAAATGATAGAAATGAAAACAATCCATCAGAATTTTAGACATCTGTCACTTTATTCTGGTGAAACATCAGTGTTGTACAAAGGCAATAAGCTTTTCCCTTGTTTGTGGTATGGCTAAACATCTGTGAAAACATATGAAGGATGAATTGTGTGTTTGCATCTCAGCTCAGTTATTAGCTTCAGGGTAAAGGCTGTGGATACCTTCCTGAGTGGGATTTCTTACCCCACGGTTCCACTGGAGGTGGAAACTGCACAGGCACCATGTTCCACCAAGAGCATTTAGTTCAGGCAGGAAATCAGTTATAGAAAAACAAAGTGGATCCGGGTGAGTTTACAAATAAGACTGCATGTGCAGACTTTGGATAAATTTTCCTGGACTTTTATGTTGTAAAAAATATCTTTATCCAGTTAATTGACAGCTGTGAGATATATGACCATTAAATTGAAAGCATAACTAAAATAAAACCTAAATAGCTTAGCTCACTTACCTTGATGGAAGAAGAAAATGTTAAATTACTTTTCTGATTATAATAAACAATCTTTATCAAAAAACTTCATTTTTACATCATGCAACACTAAATACTTTCAATTGATTTATCGCTGCATTCACACCGAATGTGATCTGAGCAGCAAAGAAGAGTCTGCTGCTTCATCTTTGATTCTTGTCCATATTGGCTTGGCTTCATTTACTAAATAAAACAAGAGAACGACATCATTAGGCGCCTATGCACCATGTCTGTATTAATTCTGGGTTGTAACATTAATGAGTTATGTTGTGTTTTTTTGAGTAAAACCAATAAACTACACCAGATACTTCAGAGTGGTTCAGTTTGAGGAGTTTTACCTCCAACTCCAAGAGCTGTGCGAGAATCGTTTCCTTAGGTAATTTCGTCTCACCCGAGCTGTTTGACAACTTGATGCCTGCATATCCTTCCAGGACACCAACACATGGCGGAGCCGCTCTCTGATTGCCTGTTGTGGCGCTTCGAGCAGCAAAAGTTCAGATTTTCCAACTTGAGTATCAGCTGCTTTGTGTGCTTCAACCATAGACTTTGCATGTAAACCGGCTGCTTCTGCTGCTCAAAGCGCGTTCGGTGTGAATTAGAGACTGACACGGGAGTGGATTTTCACTCCTGTCCCGTCCCACTCCCACAGAAATAAATTGTGTCCCGTCCCGATCCCGGGCCAGAGTAGAAATCTAAATCCTGTCCCGTCCCACTCCTGGTGAAATTACTCCCACTCCCATCCAACTCCCATTCAGAATGACTCCCGCTCCTGCACCACTCCCATTCTTGTTTTTGAGCGCGGGTGAAAAACTCAGAGCGGGAGCACTGTTGGTTTTTGGGTTGTGTAGTTGTTGTTTTTTTCCGGATTCCCGAAAAAATGTCAGTCTCTAGTGTGAATGCACCATAGGCCTCATTTTAATGAGAAGTGACATAGATCAGAGAATACTGATCACATAAGGTAAAAATGCATTGGACTTGGCCTTAAATGTAACTTTTTGCCCTTCAATGTTATATTGTAAGGCTTAAAATTGCTGTGAATTGAAATAACCATGCTGTAAGAGCTTGATTCTGATCAATACTTTGATCATGATCCAATCTGGTTTATGGGATTTGATAGGGCTGGGCGATATAGAAAAAAAGCTTATCGATAAAAAAAAATGCATATTGATCGATATCGATAATTATTGAAAAGATTTGAAACCATATTTTATGTGCAGCTCTGCCTGGACTTTTTATAATTTTGCTAAATGATTTAATTTTAATAAAAAACACAAACACAGACTTCGAATTAAATCTTTATTTAACCAACTTTTTTAACCATAACAGAATTGTTTTAAAGAAAAATAACTTAAGAGACCTGACTTATGTCATTAAATACTGACAAAGAATAAACTAAAGTGACCAGAAAAGTGACCAAAATAAATATGACAAATAAATAAATGCCCCCCCACCGCCGCCGCCGCTCCCGTTTCCTGCTTTAACCTGAGTTATTACTTTGAAGTTTCTGGCCCCTCAGCATTTTTATCTTAATTGTTAGAACTACGTGGGAAACTGCCCAGAACTGAAAATATATATATATTTTCCCGAAATTCCTGAAGATTCCTCGGAGGAGAGCCGCGTCGGGGCCTACACAGCTCGTACTCCTGCGGGTGTGAGCGGCTGAGATGATAAAAAAAAAAAAAAAAAGTTGGTTGTGTTATCAGACTTGGTTTTCACTGGTTCCCGACACATTTTACAGAAGACTGTGGTTTGTTTTTGGTCCGACTTGCCATGACCGAAATACTGCCAGACTGGCGAACTACAAAAACCCTTCTTTGAAAAAATTTCCTCCGCCTCTCCTTGCTGCGACATCTTCATCTGCTCTGTGTTGTGGTTTGAGAGGGCGGCGCTTGGTGACGACGTGCCTGGGTCTGTGATTGGTTGGGAGGAAGTAGGGACTAGCATAAACCTACATGCTAGGCTACAATGAGAAGGAAGGAAAACTGCGTTTCTTTTTTATCAAACTTTTATCGACCCTCTTTTTTTCTATTGCGCCACACGTCTATCGATCGATATATATCGTTATTGAATTATCGCCCAGCCCTAGGATTTGATATGGATATTGTCTGACAATCTGACAGTCATGTACTGCTAAATAAGCTAAATGACAAGATAATAATTAAATATGATTTATACACATATTATAATGTATAAAGTGTATAAATAACATTCTTATATTTGTCCTTTTTAGGATGTGCTCTTATGTAGTTCTGCTTGAGATTAGTAAGGGCTACATTTTCATATAAAGCTCCTAAACCATATTAGCCTGATCCTTTAGCATTTGTTTTATAGACAATATAAACGTGTTTTAGTAACAGTAACAAAATAACTTCTGTTCAGTCTTTAAATTAGCCCATATCCTCCAGATGCAGTGCCTCCTTGTAAGAGCTGAGAGGAACCCATCAGTGTGCTTTTAAACGCTGCTTCTGCATTAATTAACCTTATTGGTGATTGTCTGAGCTTGACTGGATACAGAAGCACTTAGACGAAAGAAAGGGGAGATTTAAGGAATACTAACAGCCTGTTCATCTGGCACCATTTTCTCTCAAACAAGGGTGCTTAAATATCTCCCGCTAGAGCGAAGACAATAGTTTCTGTTATTAGGGTGCTATTATTACATTTAATGTTTGGACCACTTTTATTTCTGCCTAAAATGCTGTTTGTCTCAGTTCTTTCATTTAAATAATTTACATTATTCTTTACAAATAAACTCTCCCTTTGTTTGGATTAAATCTTATGACCTTAATCCGTATATGCAGAGTAATGTAAGGCGAGGGGCAATTTCGTTTGTGGAAAAGATCTAAACTTTTATTCTTTACATCGATATCAGGTTTAGCTTTCCTTCTTCTAGCAGTCCTAAATTTTTCTGTTTGACTTTTCAGTTTTTTTTAACTGCTTTGTTTGCACGGTTAGCATTGTATAGCATTGCTTAAGTCTTACTAGGAGCTTGTATCAACAAAAACAGTATTATCATGGCTAGCTTGGCTAAAAGCACAGTTTTCAACCATATTCTGTTAAATAAGATTTGCCAAAAAGTACCAACATTTTCAAATTCAGCTTTTCTCTAAATAGACAGAGCTCTGAAGCTGAAATTAATACAATGAGCAATTTTACAGTAAGCTGGTCTACCTTTTTGTTATCTGTAGAAAATCTTGCTCTCTCCTCTCAAAATAACTAAAAACATGTCTGAGGATGTAAGTCCTATCAGCTCTTGTTCCTACTCCTTCTGAAATAAATTAATTTAAAGTTTTCTTGCTATTTTAAGGCCAATTTATGCTTGTGACGCATAGCCTCTGCAACCGTCAAATCTGTCTCACACCCATGCCCCCCGCGCAGAGGTTCTGTAACCATCAAACAAAATCTTGACTACGCGTTGGACGGTCGCAAACCCTTGCAGACCTCAAGCAGAAGTGCGCAGACAAAAAGCAGCTGTGATTGGTCCTTGGTATGCCTTTCCGGCTGTCTGTGTCGTCCTTTTCGATTCGGTGCCGGGGCGCGCCATTTTTAAAAACCGAGGAACAACTACAATGGAAAACTATAATGAAAGGTTAATTGGTCTTTTTACCAACTCCATTAACAGAACCTGTTCCTCTTCAATGTCTAGCAACTCTAGATCCATCTTCCTGACCGTGATATCTTGCAGACGCGCCATTGTTGTTTTAGAAGATAAACACTCCCGCTAGGGCTGGGCGATATAGAAAAAAAAGCTTATCGATAAAAAAAAGTGCATATTGATCGATATCGATAATTATTAAAAATATTTGAAACCATATTTTATGTGCAGCTCTGCCTGGACTTTTTATAATTTTGCTAAATGATTTAATTTTAATAAAAAACACAAACACAGACTTAATTAAATCTTTATTTAACCAACTTTTTTAAACATAACAGAATTGTTTTAAAGAAAGATAACTTAATGGACCTGAGTTATGTTATTAAATACTGACAAAGACTAAACTAAAGTGACCAGTAAAGTAACCAAAATAAATATAACAAATTAATAAATGCCCCCCCCACCGCCGCCCCCGTTTCCTGCTTTAACCTGAGTTATTACTTTGAAGTTTCTGGCCCCTCAGCATTTTTATCTCAATTGTTAGAACTACGTGGGAAACTGCCCAGAACTGAAAATATATATATATTTTCCCGAAATTCCTGAAGATTCCTCGGAGGAGAGCCGCGTCGGGGCCTACACAGCTCGTACTCCTGCGGGTGTGAGCGGCGGAGATGATAAAAAAAAAAAAAAGTTGGTTGTGTTATCAGACTTGGTTTTCACTGGTTCCCTACACATTTTCCAGATGACTGTGGTTTGTTTTTGGTCCGACTTGCCATGACCGAAATACTGCCAAACTGGCGAACTACAAAAACCCTTCTTTGGAACAATTTCCTCCGCCTCTCCTTGCTGCGACATCTTCATCTGCTCTGTGTTGTGGTTTGAGAGGGCGGTGCTTTGTGACGGTGTGCCTGGGTCCGCGATTGTGATTGGTTGGGAGGAAGCAGCGACTAGCATAAACCTACATGCTAGGCTACAATGAGAAGGAAGGAAAACTGCGTTTCTTTTCTATCGAACTTTTATCGACCCTCTTTTTTTCTATTGCGCCACACGTCTATCGATCGATATATATCGTTATTGAATTATCGCCTAGCCCTAACTCCCGCTGGCGCCGCCCAAGTTCTCATGACCATCCACCGAAGTTCTTGCGAGTCCTCAAATATGCTCCCCCTTGTGCTTTGGCGGGAAACTGCTGTGCGTCCCTAGAAATTCCAGACGACTTTGCAGAAGCATACCAGGAAAACTGGTTCGCGACCAGACCCAAGCGACATTTGATGTGTGCGTTTGCAGAAGTCTAATCTGCCCTTAAGTCTCTTTTAGTAAGAACTATGCCTAAGACGGATGTTGTTTGTACCATTCTCTAGAGCTTAGTATGATGCATTCACTGATTAAACAGAAAATATTTTTACGTTTCTGACTGGCTGTTTAGGGCTGCTCAAGCTGAAAAGTGTGATTCTAATCAGCAGCCAGTTGCTGGGTTCATCTCTGCTCCTCTAAGCTGACCTCTTCATCTGTTGAACATAAAACTGATTTAAAATTAAGCAACCTTGTGAATTTGGTGTTCTACATGATTTTTATGAAAAAAAATATCTTGCATGTTTTCAGAAAAACTCATGGGCATGAATGAGACTTCAGCAACCATCACCATGGCAACTGCTAACACCTCCAACCAGAACATCAGCAAGCAGGTCCTGTCTGTGGCCAACGTAGGAGTGGTTTCATCCAGCCAAAACAACCTTCAGAGGTAAAAGCAAATGAATATTTTTATTTCTGTTTCTACTTGCTGCTCTGCTAATAAATGTTTTTATATCGTGTCTTTTAAAAGTATTTTTATCTATTAATACCTAGTTGCTTATGTGCTGTAAGTTATTATTGCACAGATTTCTTAGATTTAATTAGCTTGTATTTCTTTCAGATTACAGGACTGCAATTGTTATCACTGATTTTAAATTCCATTTAAATTCTTTAGTCTTAACAGTAAACTAAGTGAAAATGAGAATGTCAGCTTGTGTTTAAGGTCTAAATGAACATACTGTTATTGCTAAATTCTTTTCAGTATTCTTTAAATATTATTGTTGTAAAATCCAGCAAATTTTGTATGCCTGGTTGAGATGGCCTGTATCAAGCGGTATCACCTTTTCTGAGTTTTTATCTGTGTTAAGATGCTATTCCATCACCAAAAGGAGCAGCAGCCTCTCTCTGTTCAGGAAATTGAGTAGCCATTACTGTTTTACTTAAACCAGTGATTACACACCGTTTCCAGGAAGCACCTACCTTGACTGCGCTGAGCCTGCACAGTAAAATACACGCCCACTTTATCCAATCAGCAAAGAAAATGATGAAGCAGAGTTGAGTGGAAATTAGCTCTTTTAGCCGCTAATCAACAGAGTAACAGCAACCATTTAAAATTTTGTCTGTTTTTGCAGCTATAGTTGTAAAAATGTGTTTTCTGTCTGCGATGGATTTCAGACTTCATTTAGCCTTCCCAAAGATGAGCCAAAACACCACAAGTAGCGTGATAGCATGTTGTAAAGATCCACCTCTATCAGAATTTATGTGCTGACATTTTAGTACTTGCCAATACGGAGTACCGATCCGATTACTAAATAAAAGTTTTTCTTTTTTTTTTCTTCACTATCTTATGCAGGCCAGTTAGTTATACGTCAGCTTGAACATCTAAATTCGGCCAATCATATATCAACCTTCATCTGTCAATCAAATTTTTTCAGTCATATCATCTTGATTCATGTGTTGCAGCTAATATATGCAATAGTTGAAATAAGAAATAAGAATAATTTCCTTTCCCATTGAGTTCCGTCCCAGTGTTCACGGGGATGGACGTCTGTGTCTTCAGCAGGCGTAGAGCTAACAGAACTGGCAGCGCTGGAGGCAAGGGCTCAAACATGTACGGCTGGAAGCCTTCTACACCAAACCAAGCTTCTGCCGCCCTGGCGTCCTCTTCCACATCAACTTCATCCCCGCTTTCCTCCTCTAAAGAAAAAATGTATGATGGAGGAGACTCATCCATGACCTCCGACAGAAAACTCTCCTCCTCTTGCATGTTTCTGCTGTCCATAGCAGAAACATGCAAGCAGAACAACAGTGTCGTTTCTAAGTCACCAATTTAGTGCTACTTGGTCCCAATGGAATTTCCCATTGGGAACCTACTAGTGCTAAGTTGCTAACTGATTAGTAAGATGCTTCAGAGAAACCGGCCACAAACTTGCTTGCGAACCTTCCGCCACAACGATCCTGCCCCCTTCATAATCGACCAATCACATTCACTTTACTCACTCGTGTAAAGTCGTGCACCACTCGGGAGAATTCAGAACTGCAACCGTTGGAACGGCCATTTTCCTACGACTTTAAACAGGAATCCTATACAGTTGAGATCCATTATTTTTTCTCCTCGTAAAAACCTTTCTAACAACCTGCAGACTTCCTCCATCAAGAATGAGCCCCCTATATTTGTACTTCCAAAGATTTGAAACTAGCCAAGCTCTGCGTACACACCAGAATCTGGATGCAAAGCTAACTGGGAGATTCCCTTCCCACTTAGAAATACCCCCACACTGCTGACATAGCTGCTTCTCAACGGTCTGGCCTCCTGAACTTGCACTGTTGTGAAGCAGTTAGTCCAGCTAGTGCTACTCCGACCGCTGGTCTTCTATTCACCGGCCCTACCGCCTCTCACTGGACTGGTGCATTGTGTTAAAAGGGAAAAAGACACTAATATTCAGTCCTTTAGCATCGTACCAGAATGTGTGGAATCTACACCACTGATCCTTACAGTGCTGATCAGCGCATCATGAAATGGGCGCCATAAAGGGAAATTATGTTAAATATCTTTAGCTTATTCTAGAAGGATTAAAAAAGGAGGATATGAGACATTTAAACAGAGAATCTCATCTCGAAATGTTTAAAAATGTGATGTGGAAATGTGATGATGCATCTAATCAAAAAGTAGGAAAATATTTTGGATTTCTTCATGAACCCGGGTTTTATTTTTAAAATACCTGAAGACACATCTGGATAGTTCCAGCTGGTCAGTGCTAATAGAGCCTTAATAGAAATGCTAAAAAGATGTGTCCATCTTTGTTGTAGTGGAAGATGTTTTCTGTCAAAGAGACGAGTGAGTAAAATACTGCTGACATATCGAAATGGCCTGTGATCCACCTGTGAATGAATATCTGCCACTTAAACCATTTCTTTAGTGTCAAATGTGGTTATATCATGATTAGGATCCTTTTGCCTGAGTCGGAACAATTAAAGGGATATTTTAAGGGAATTAACATATAGAAAAATGTACATGAATAATTGGAAGAAATAAAAGTCTGAGATTTTTGGCAGAGGAAAAAATAAAATGAAACTGGAAAAGTATTCACACCCCCACAAAATGTATTCATATTTTGCTTCTGTTTTACCAGAAGAACAAACCAACCCTTAAAGGCTCTGAAGATTTAAATTGAGAGTTTCTGCAAAAAAAAAAAAAATCTAATTGGATGGAGATGGTTTGTTTATGTAATTTTTTTTAGATTGTTTTCTTGAAACTCCATAAAGGACAAAATTTAGGTTTATTTGATAAATTACTGTTTTGTCAGAAGATATCCTGAGTTGTATGTCTTCAGATTCTGGTTTAAAAAAAAAAGTGTTTAGGCGGACGCTCTTGTCTGGGTTGGTTTGCAGGCTCTACGGGTTCATCCCGACCTCTGAAGGCCATTGATTGCACTAGTTTAAATTCAGAGGCAACAGAGTAAAGGGGCCTGAATCCAAATTAGAATTTTGAAAGGCGGAGACACACGCGGTTTAGATTTATCCATCACATCCAGTCTTAATGAAATACTTTGTCTTGTGTTTGAAAGTCCAGAAAGGATCCAAGTTGTGGGACGTTTGTCTGAAGGTTTGAATGTGTCTTTTTGCTCTGACTTCATGGTACATCTGTCCTCCTTAAAGGTGCCTGTCCCCCCCCCCCCCCCCAGCCTCTCACGCACACTATGCCAGGGGAATGCCCTGAGAAGCCTGGCTGTGTAATTGGTGTACACAGAGTGTGCTAATGAGCTTCCTCCTCTGTCACGCACACCCGAACACCTGATAGATAATTACACCTCCCGCTCTGCCTCAGTTTCCTGCTCTGTCCCTCTTTCAATTCATCCCTGCACCCCCATCTGTCTCACCCTTTGCACTGCTGTCTGTCTTTCACTTCCTCTTTGTCTTCCCTCTCCTCCTCCTTGTCCTTCTCTCTTTTGCTCTGTTTTTACCTGGTTACATCTCGATCCCTCTGCCTTGAAACAATGATTTCTTTATAGATTTAGGCTTGAATGGCGGCAAAACGCCTGAGGCGCTGGATAAATAAGGGACAGCAAGCAAGTTGGGTGTGGAAAAAAAAAAAAAGGGAGACATTTGCACAAGGGCACAGGGAGCTGAAGGAGTGAGTGGAAATCAATGCTAGCCAGTGGGAGAGGCCTGCTACCAATATGCCCATACTTCATTCAGAATAACCAATAGATCAGACGACTCTGGGCTATCAATCTCTTTTCTGCCTGTGTGACGGCCCAAGAGGAAAACCGAGTCCCACAGTAATGAAGACACTCTCCCATGCTGTCCTTATGATCAGCAGCTTTTCCACCCTGTCTTTGGAGCTCCATTTGTTGGAGATGATGGAATCCCTCGCTGACAGAATCCCCAATCAAGTTAACTGCCCAGGTTCACAGGCTTGTCTGCAGAGGAGGAGGAGGACTGGTTCTTCTCCTCTCTCACATCTCAGTCCTCTAGGTCAACCCACCTTTTTTTGTTTTGCACACAGATAATTAGGGGTCAGAAAGGGAGTTACTTTATTAGACCTCCTGTTAGACTGAATTTATATTTCTAAGTAGAAATACATCAATTAAAAAGTTGTTTATTCCATTCATTTTCTCCCGTTTTATCTGGGGCCGTGTTGCGGAGGCAGAAGTCTAAGCAGAGATGCCCAGATGTTTATTTGATGCCAAATTATGTTGAAATATTCTGATTCTAATCCTATTTCCCCACCATAAGGTTAGAACGCATTAGGGGGAAAAAAACATGCTACAGCTAGAAGATGCAGGTGGGATTTAAATCTGTCATAAATAAAAAAAATTACCAGATTATTCTGTGTTTATATATTAGGAAAGGTATGGAAATTAAATCAAAGCACTTGCTGTTGGTGGATGGTTTAGAGGACGCGTTTTGTTTTCTTCAGTTATAAAAAGAGGAGGAATCCATTTTTGTTTGTATTTGATCAGCTGGACACCAAGATCTGATCAACTCATTGGTTTGTCTTTAGTTCTAATATTAAAAATCAGCCAGCTCTGTAAATAAGTACTAAAAAAAATATCATTGGGTTAACAGTGATGAGCTGATTATTGAAATAAAGTAATTAAGTTTTGGATTAATTGCATACAAACTCTAACCCATACCATTAGCTGAAAGAGCAACCCACCCAGTAATTAGTAATTATGCCAATATTTAAGATGAAGAAACTTTTCCTGTGAATATATCCTCTATTTAGCTTCACCTGCTTTAAATTCTTTATACAAATCTTCTTTAAGGCACATTTGTTATCTGATTATTAAATGATTAATCTAAAAAATGATTTGAAAATTAACAAATAGAAAAATAGTTTGGATCAGTCTATGATAGAGATTAGACTATACAGGTTTTTTAAAGCCTGCTGATACCCATTATTTGACATCAGTCTAACCAGTCCCCAATACATGTTGAGCTGCA